GGGCAAGGGAAAGTGGTGGGGGGTAGGCAGAGACAAAGGTATTTGAAAAAATAAATTAATTAATTAAAAAAATTTTAATGGCCTTTTTGCAGAAAAGGAAAAGCTGATTCTAAAATTCATATGGAATAGCAAAGGGCCCTGAATAATCAAAACAACACTTCAAATAGAAAATAAAGTTGGAGGACTAACGCTTTCTCACCAAAACATTATAAAACTATAGTGTTCAAAAAAGTGTACTGGCATAGCAATAGACTTTCAGAAGAATGGAATAAGATTGTGACTTGAGAAATAAATCCATACATTTATGGTTAATGATTTTTGACAAGGGTACTATGACATTTCAATGGGGAAAAGAATAGTCTCCAAATGGTGCTTGGACAACTGGATATCCACATAAAAAGAATAAAGCTGGACCCTTAATTCACATCATATATGAAAAAAATAACTCAAAATGGATCAAAAACCTATTTATAATAATTGAAAAAATAAAACTCTTAGAATAAAACATAGGGGTAAATCTTCATGACCCCAAAACCAGAATCATGACCCCAAAATCAAAATAATTTCTTATATTGGACAACAAAGGCAAAACAATGAAAGAAGAAATACATAATTGAGCTTCATCAGAATTAAACATTTTTGTGAATCAAACAGTATCAAGAGAGTGTTAAGACATAGAATAGGGGATAATTTGAAAATAATATATCTGATATTAGTCACCAGAATAAAGAAATCTTATAACTTAACAATGTAAAGACAAACAACTCAATCTAAAAAAGATGGGCAAAGAATTGAATAGACATTTCTTTAAAGATGTACAAAAGGCCATCATGTCTATGGAAAAAATACTTAACATCATTAGTTATTAAAGAAATGCAAATCAAACACTCAATTAAATACTATTTGGCACCCACTAGGATGGCTCTAATTGAAAATAATGAAAATTAACACGTGTTAGAGAGGATACAGAGAAATGGGAGCCTTCATATATTGCTGGTGGAAATGGAAACTGGTGCAGTCACTATGGAAAACACTTCTTCAGAAAGTTAAGCATAGAATTACCATATGATCCAAAAATTCCACTTCTTGATGTATATACCTTTAAAAAACTGAAAACAGATGTTTGAACAAATCTTGTACAGTCATGTTCACAGCAGCACTATTGACAATAGCCAAAGTATGAAAACAACCCAAATGTCCAACAAATGACATAGAAAAAAAAAATTATCTATCCTTACAATAGAATATTGTTTGACCATAACAAGAAATTAAGTACTGTTATATGCTACAACAAACAAACATCTTAAAAACATTATGCTAAGTGAAAGAAGCTGAGCACAAAAGGCCATATGATTCCATTTATATGAAATATCCAGAATAAATTCATAGAGTCTAGAATAAGATTAGTGGTTTTCATGGGCTAAAGAGAGAAAAAATGAGGAGTGTCTGCTTAATGGGTTCAGGATTTCCTTTTAAAGTGATGAAAATATTTTGAAAGTAGATAATGGTGATAGTTGCACAATATTGTGAATGTATTAAATACCACTGAATTGCAAACTTTCAAATGGTTAAAATGGTCAATTATGTGTTATGCGAGGTCTGTCTGGAAAAAGTCCAATCCTTGTTAATATAATGAGAAAGGTCTGTGCAATATTGATGTAATCTGGTAGCCAAGGAAAGTGGCCTGGAATGCACATGTGTGAACAATGATGACTTTGCTGTACTGGTCACTGGGGGTAGTAGATGCTGTTGAGTGAGCATGTGTACTGTGTGGCTATAGCATTCAAAATGCCTGAGAGAGTACAGCAATGAATCTGCATCAAATCTGCATTAAGATTGAACATTCCTCCTTAGAAACTATTCAAAAGGCCACCGCTATGGGCAACTGGTGATTGGTAGCTTCATCGTGTCTGCTCATGCATCACATCTGCTGCAGATTTTTTTGATGAAACATCAAAACACCCAGATGACCCAGCTACCCCACAGCCCAAGTTTGGTGCCCTGTGACTTCTGGCTTTTCCCAAAACTGAAATCACCTTTGAAAGGGAAGAGATTTCAGACTGTGGATGATATTTAGGAAAATATGAGAAGGCAGCTAGTAGTGATTGGCAGAACTGTGTGAGATCCCAACGTGCCTACTCTGAAAGGGACTGAGATATCATTGTCTTGTATCTTGTATCTTCTTAAATAAATATCTCTATTTTTTAATCTATTTTTTTTTGTTGTTCAAGTACAGTTGTCTCCATTTTCCTGCCACCACTTCCCCCTTATTTTTCATAGTATGTGGCTGGATATTTTCTGGACAGCACTCATATATATTTTATCATAGTAAAGAAGTTGCTGGTTATATAAATATCCAACAGAGCCCAAAGGGTTAGTCCAAGCAATTCATACACTAAAAGAGAGATGGGTAAGGAATAAGGAAGGAGAGAAAAAGATAAAATGTGACCTGTCATAATATTATGTGACATAAGAACTAAAAATTAACCAAGTAGCAGGCAGCAAGGTTCACTGAGATTTCCCTAGAGCTACTCTTTAGCTGGTGCAATGACCAAAGGGAATTTCTATTCATTTCATTTTAATTTCAACACCTTAGACTCTGACATCTGGAGACTTCATTACAAATTCTCCCTCAACACATACACACAAGGACTTTTTTTTTTTTACCACGTCTTAGGGTGTGTTGAGGCTCTGTTCTAAGAAAAAAAATTATATATATATTTTTTCAAGAACTGAAAATATAAACTTTTCAAGAAGTGAATTCACAGCTGCTACATGACTTCCTAAGACAGAAGGCAAGAAACCTGGTAACTACTTGTGATCAGTGAGTCAATGCAATGTGTGCTTAGGATTGGAATTTGGATTCACAGAAGTTTAGTTATGACCTAGAATATTGAGGTAGGAGTAAAATGGCACAGATCAGTAGTCTTGGGAGATGTAGCAGGAGGACTAAGATGGGAAGAAGTTGGAGAAAAAAATATGTGCTGGGCACTTACAATATTTCACATATATAACCTCATTTATCCCACTCAGTAACAATATGAGGTAGATAGTAGTATGTTTATTTCTGAATGAAACTGAAACACAGAACATAATGTTTCATATATATTTTGCCATGTATAGTGCTCACTTTTTTGCCCACATTTTTGAGGGGAAAAAATAAGGATGTGCATTATACATGGATATAATGAATACATACCATGGGTATAATAATCCTATGTATAATGTGCACAAAAACGTGGGTGTACATGATAAGTGGCAAAATACAGTAACTTGCCTAAGGTCAAGACAAGTAAGAACAGAATCAGGACTGCATTCTATGCCACAGTGCCAGTAATATTAAATACTGTATGCTTTTTATTCCTTTTCCTACACATGTTATTATCTTGACAGTGAGGGACCCAAATTGGCGGGGAGGGGGACCGGATCATAGTAGACAAATAAAGATAGATAATGAATCAGCACTGCCTTATACTTAGACTGGCTGTGCACATTGCACAGATATTTAAAAATGTTCAATATGGTGATCAGCTGTTGGTCTCTATCCATGCTTCATATTTCAAAGGGATTAATCTGAATTCAGACTTTGTTATTGGGAGACCTGAATTTATAACTGATGCCATGGCCCAAGATGAGGCATGTGGTGAAAAGCATAGTTACAGCAATAGTAAAAAATACCTTTGGAACTAAATGTGTAGATGTGTCATAAAGAACTCGGCATTGCCCAAAGAGCACACAGCCTTTGTTATATTGACTTTTAGCTGGTATTGGCTATTCTAGGTCCATTAATTCTTCCCATCCCCTATTTTTCTTTCTCCCTCCTTTCACTACTTCCACTAACAAGTTTACTAAAACAGGTGTTAATCAGTGTCACAAAGCTTAGTTTCAAACTAATTTTAAATTGTGTTTATTTTTTATTAAATTTATTGGGGTGACATTTGTTAATAAGATTATGATTCTGCTGCCTATTAGCTTTGTAAGTAATGGAAAGTCAATTAACTTATCAAAACCTTTCTTTTCCATTAACCAGATACCAAGCAGAACTTGTGCCATGGAATTGTGGGGAGAGAAAAATAATATATGTAAATAATGGTAAAAAATATGTCTGAAAAATAGTAAATACCTAATTAATGATAGCTATTATTGTTGTGCTGGTGGTTATTATTACTATCAATTTTATTATCTCCAAATAGTATTTATTTTTGTATTTATTTCTTGAGGAAGAGGAGAGTTAATGTATTTAGCCTGAACTAAATGATTCTAAGAGAGACAGTGTTAGCTTCTATGGTTCATTTGAGAAGCAATACTGGAATTATTTATAGAGAACTAGAAAAAGAAAAATAATTAAAGGCCTTTAGAGAAAAGTAATCCTAACATCAATCATTTGGGGATTTTTTTTATTTCTATTGAATTTATCAGGATAATGTTGGTTAATAAAATTATATATGTTTCAGTGGCACGATTCTATAATACATCATCTGTATAGTGTATTGTGCACTTACCACCACAAGTCAAGTCTCCTTCTAGCACCACTTATTCCCCCCTTTACCATCTTCTAACTCTTCTCACCCTGCTTTCCCTCTAATCACCACACTATTGTTTGTGTTTATAGGTTTGTTGGGGTTTTTTTTTCCTTAATCCCTTCACTTTTTTCAATAAGCCCACCAGCACCTCCATCCTCTAAGAGCTCTCAGTCTGTTCTTTGTATCTATGAGTCTGTTTCTATTTCATTTACTTTGTTACTTATATTCCACATATAAGTAAAATTGTATGGTATTTGTCTTTCTCTGACTGGCTTATTTCACTTAGCATGATACTCTCCAGGTCCATCCACATTATCACAAAAAGATTGCTTTCTTTTTTACAGCCTTGTAGTATTATAGTGTGAAAATGTACCACAGCCTTTTTATTAACTTTTATTGAATTAATTGTAGTGACATTTTGTTTTTAATTTTTGTAGATCTCAGTTAATGGTGGATAAATTTTCCTGTGGGAACCAGCTACAACTTTTAATAAGGATATTACAATCAGCCTGCAGAAGAATGCCCTCTCCCAATGTCACTGAGTACCACCCTTCTTCGTTCCTGTTGCTGGGCATTCCAGGGTTGGAAATTGCACAAATCTGGCTTGGCTTTCCTTTCTGTGTAGTGTATCTGATTGCTCTTGTTGGAAATATCACTATTCTTTTTGTTATCTGGACTGATCATAGCCTTCACCAACCCATGTTTTACTTTCTAGCCATGCTGTCAGTAATTGACCTGAGTCTCTCTACTGCTACCATCCCCAAGACACTGGGTATCTTTTGGCTCAACCTTCAGGAGCTGTGCTTTGGGTGCTGTGTTGCTCAAGTCTTTTTTATCCACTTTTTTACAGTCATGGAGAGCATTGTACTTCTTGCCATGGGTTTTGATCGCTATGTGGCTATTTGCAATCCCCTCAGATACAACATGATCCTCACCAACAGAGTCATTGGTGTGATTGCACTGGTGGTAGTTCTAAGAAGTTTATGCATGATTGCTCCCATCATTTTTCTCCTTCTGAGGCTGCCTTACTGTGGACATAGAATCATCCCTCATACCTATTGTGAGCACATGGGAGTAGCACGTCTGGCTTGTGCCAGTATTAGTGCCAATGTCTACTATGGTCTTGGTAATATTTCTATCTTGTTTCTAGATGTGCTTCTGATTATTATCTCCTATGCTAGGATCTTATACACTGTCTTCCACCTCCCTTCCCAGGATGCCCGCTTAAAGGCTCTAAACACTTGCAGCTCTCATATTTGTGTCATCTTAGCCTTCTTCGGTCCAGCCCTCTTCTCCTTCCTCACTCATCGCTTTGGTCACAACATTCCCCAGTATATCCATATCCTTCTAGCTAATCTCTATGTGGTCATCCCCCCTGCCCTCAACCCAGTCATTTATGGGATCAGTACCAAACAGGTCCAGAAGCGGGTACAGAGTCTTTTTGTTAAAAAGAAGCAAAACAAATGAGAAGTAATTGATTCCTGTTATGGAAGTATAAAGTTTGAGCAGACTGAAATTCATAATAAAATCAATAAAGAAATTTCTTTCACCAGAATTGTGAAATAAACACATGCACACACACACACACACACAAGCACACAAAGTTGGCTATAATTGTTGGAGGCATGTGTGTTTTTGTGTGTCTGAATGTATACTTGCAATGATATTCATTATTGACCTCTGGCATAAAATGTCATATAAGAGAAATTTTCAAGGAAAAGAGCTCTGATTCACTGAAGGAAGAATTTAACAGTTCCTGTTAAAACAGTATGGTGTTCTAGATTTCTTTCATACAGATGTTCAACTAGAAATCACACGGTCAATGACAAGTGTTAAGAAAAATGAAGCCCTGGTCAGCATGGCTCAGTTGGTTGGGCATCATCCTACAAAGTGAAAAGTTGCTGGTTTGATTCTAGGTTAAGGCACATGCTTGGTTGCAAGCTTAGCCCTGGGTTGGAGACATGTGAGAGGCAGCTGATTGATGTTTCTCTCACACATTGATGTTTCTCTCCCTCTTTTCTTCTCTTCCTGCCCTTCTCTCTAAAATAAATAAATAAATTTTTTTTCTTAAAAAAATGCAAAGAGTTTCTACAAATAAAGTACTGCCTAAAAATAAATAGTATAGTGTTTACTGAAGTGTATGAAAGCAAAAGACAGGAATTAAACTAATTTTTTGGTGTGTTTTTTTTTTCTTTCTATGCTCTCAAGTTTCTGATTTTATGAAGTTCTTCATAAGCCTGACCCTCATTTCATACACTCTCATTCTTGAACTGGTAAATTTAATACTGTGTCTTCTGTGATGGTTTTCTTTTTCTTGGAGTTTAAAAAATGCTTGTGTAACAAATGAAAATTAAATGTGAAATTAAATTGATGATGATAAAAACTTGTGAACATGTTAGCTCTTATTGTTTCTCCAGCCCATGTGCCCCAACAGAAACAAATATTTGGTAGCCATTCATAGACAACAATTTGTGGGAGTTTTGGAATCCAGGTGGGAGATCGTAAAACCCACACAGAGCCCATGATGCAGAATGACTGTTTTGAGAAGGCAAGCCAATGGCAGATCAGTTGACAGTGGTCCTGCCTACATATTGGGCACAGCCCTGTCCCCTGTGAACTCGACTCCAGTTCCACTTGTATGTGGTCCCGTCAATAGCTGCTTCTGCCGAGGGACCCAGGAGGTGCCATGCCCATCTCTGCCCCCTATAACAGGCAACCAACCTCAAACTTGAGTGTGATCGTTAAAGCAGTCCTATGACCTGATTCCAATCTCTCTCTACCACAGACCAGAGGCAGTTTTGCCCGCATAGAGACAATCCTTGTGACTCAGTAGGAACACACTCAGGGTGCCATCTGAACCCATCTGCAACCCTGGTAACAAGTCTGCCAACTGTGGACTGATTGCAAACCGGCTGATAATCTTAAAATCTGGTTCTAGCTCTACTCAACTTAATCTCAGAGGTAGTCCCATCAGTTCAGGGACCCAGCAGGAGAAGGACTTTACCTATCAATACCAGGCTAAAAACCGGAAGGGGGGATGTCTGTTCCTTCAAATAGACATACCAACTCGAAGCTACGTGGATCACAAAGAATCAGACAAACATGACACCAACAAAGGAAACTAATAAACCAATAACTGATCCTAAAGAAGGGGAGATCCATGAAATGTTTGACAAGGAATTCAAAACAACCAACTTAAAAAAACTCAGTATACTATAAGAAAAAAATAAAGTCGACTAAATGCAATCAGTAAAACAACAGATGGATAAAATGAGAAATCTAATAAAGGAATAGATATCATAAAAATAAGCCAAACAGAAATCCTGAAGCTTAAAAATATAATGACTAAAGTGAAAAATTCAATAAAGATAAAGAAAATGTGGTCTATACATTCAATGGAATATTATTCAGCCTTTTAAAAAAAGAAAATTCTGCCACTGCTACAACATAAATGAACCTGAGGACATTATGCTAAGTGAAATGTCAGTCACATAAAGACAAACTGTATAATCTCTTGTATAGAGAACAAACCACGGGTGCCAGAGAGGAGAGGGGTTTGGGGACTGGCTGAAAAAGGTGAATGGATTATGAAGTACAAACTGGCAGTTAAGAATAGTAATGGAGATATAAAGTACAGTATAGGGAATATAGTCAATAACATTATAACTGCATATGGTATTAGGTGGATACTAGACTTACCAGGGAATTACTTTGTAAGTTATGTAAACATCTAACCACCATGCTGTACATCTTAAACTAGTACAGGTGTGGGGAAAAGTGGGTTTACAGTTGTTTATATGGAAAACAATACAATAATTAATAAGCAATAATACAAGAATAAACACTATGTTTCATATACTCACAACTGTAAAACTACTTTTGCCCACTGCTATATAATATTATGTCAATTGAAATTTAAATTTTTTAATTAAAATATATATTGCATAATCTCAATTTTATCTGGAATCTTTAAAAAAAAATCTCAACTTACAGTACCAGAAAATAGAATAGTGGTTACCAAAGGCTGTGGCATGAGGAGAAAGGGGAGATAGTTGGCAGGGGCCAGGGGAAGGAGGTCATGGAGAGTTTACTGGGTACAGAGTTACAGTTTCTGAAAAATAAAAAAAAAGCTCTGGAGATGGACGGTACGTATTGTTGTACAATAATACGTACTTATTACTACTGAACTATACACTTAAAAATGGTTAAGATGGTAAATTATATGTTAAGTGTATTCTACCAAAATAAAAAATTGAGAAAAATGGTAAAGGCAGAAACACTAAACCAAAGAGGAAAATGTGCCTGTTTTAATTGCGCAACACACTGATATGAGAATGCAAGAGAAATGAAGATCAGATCTAGTTGATTCATACAGATTACCATCATGGAGGCCATGGTAATTGAGGCAGAGTTGAAGGAAAATAAAAATCAGTAATAGTTATTTCATAAGTAGAATTTTTGATCATCAAAGACAGGGTAGTTTTTTCAATTGTTTAATTGTTGTTCCATTACAGCTGTCCCCATTCTCCCCCATTACTCTCCCCCACCCCACCCATCTCCCACCACCCACATTCAATCCTCCCCTCACATTGTCCATGGGCCATTTATACATGTTCCTTGACTTGACCTCTCCCCTTCTTTCACAGAAGAGTCATAAAATAAAATTAAAATTTAAATACTGATTCAGTATTAACTAAAAGACTTTGACAACAATGGTGTTTATACCTTATTAAATAAAGCCTACTCAATACAGTAAAGAAATCAAGGTCATAGGAAGGACTTTTAAGAGATTAGATCACATCGGTCTTGATTTACGGATAAATGTTGACACAGTGGGGAGGATGTATACCGTGCGGGAGTGACCAGAGACCTGGGAATAAGCTTCTCATTAATCAAAAAGAGAAATAATGAAAATGAGAACATATCAGATGTAATCAGACTCTGTTTTGGAGTAAAGTAACATTGTTTTCTCTCTCATGACAACTTAAAATTGTCTGAACTTGTAACTTAAAAAATAAAAACTGGAAAAGAAAAGGGGATTAAGAAGTAAAAATTTCCAGTTACAAAATAAGTCACAGGGATGTACACAGCATAAGGAACATAATAATATTGTAGTAACTACATGCAGCGACAGACGGTTACTAGCTTATTGTGGTGATCACTTCATAAGGTATATAAATGTTGAATCACTATGTTGTATAACTGAAACTAATATATTGTATGTCAACTATATTTAAAGAATAAAAATTTTTAAAAACTTATTTAGTATATTACATTGTCCTTCAGTCTTTTATCATCTGTACTTAAGAAAACCATGATTTATGGCATATCCTGGTACTAATAGGTCTACTCTATCATCATCCAGAAAGGGAGACTCTCATAAAACTCTAGACCTTTTGCTCTACTTGAATTTTGTTTTCTCACAAGAATGTGGAGTTTTCATCACCTTCTACCCAAAGAACTAAAACACAGGAAAACCCCTCTCCAAAGAATTTATCTGTTCATTATTAGTTATAGAGTGGAGGAGAGAATCTTGCTGGGTTGGAAGAAAGTTGATACTATTATGTATAGGTACAAACACTGTCAAAAAAAAAAGGCTCATTGCCAACGGGTCTAATGTGTCTATTTCAGGGGTCCTCTTCCATTTTTGAAACTATAGTTGTAACAATGTTACACTGCATCAGGATTTACTTCTTTATATTAAACAAAGCCGAACAGTTGCTAAGGACATTTTCTTAAGAAATCACACTTTGAAGACTTAATAGTATAAACTTAATGCTTTATGGCTTCTAAAGGTGGCAGAATCAATATCATCCCCCATACATATTCCTTTCCCTTTGGGAAATTTATCTTCCTAACAGCTCATGAGATATCCTGAGGAGGGCGGACTCTGTCCAGCAGAGTATGCTCTGGGTTATCAAGGATGGGAAAATAAAATAAGTCATCCCAGACACTTTTCTTGGTCTGCCAGGGAAAGCAATGGTGATTTCCTCTAATGAAGAATGCCCCGAACCCTTCTCTTGAAGTGGCTTTTATTGAGAACCATATGCTCGGGGGTGTACAGCAAGGACGCAAAGCTCACCAATCAATGTCAGAAGGCTATGTTTACAGAAGACAAATAGAGATCATTGATAACTATTGAAGGAACACAAGAGATTTGCCTCAGGTCAGGGTCTGGTAGACAGGATGGTGCCCATTCAGCCCTGAAACCTGGGAAACTGATCACATTCTATGCTCAACCCCAAACATCAGTACTCATTAACTCTAGAGCATTCTTAGCAAAATAAGTTTCATAGGATTTAATGCATTCTTTTTCCAGGCTTAACTGTCCCCAGGAACCATCTGATCCAATTTCAGGCTATACCTCCCTTTAGTATTGTTTCACTGACCACGTCAGGTGGCAGGCAGAGCAGCCAAGAGATAAGGAGACTTTTTTCAGATAGAATGAGGACTCCTGCCATGACAAA